AATGTGATTTCACCGTAATCCATTTAATTCATAATCCTCAAATGGTTGCACATTTTGCCCAACAGTTTATTTTTTTAAAAAGGGCTAACCACTAAGAAATGAGCTTACATTAAAGTTCTTTTTTATGAAAAAAAAGCTCTTTGAGTTTTGTTTATTTTAAACTAAATTTAACTTATTCATGTTTTGTTACTCTACATTTTCACTAGTTAAGTGAAAACTAATTGTCAGAACTTTACAGGATCCGGCAGAAGTAAGGCCTGCTTGAGTGTGGTTGGTAGGGTAATAATATGGGTGCAATAATTTATAGTTTTAATTTTAACATTTCACCTAAAATGTCATATGGTGTGCTTGAGTATAATATTGTTATGTTACAGAATTACATGCTTGTAACTTTGTTATAAAAGATTTTGTAATAAAAAGGAGGCGTTATTTCTGTCAGATCCTGTATTTTGTTCCTAAACAATTTAGAACCAAATTAATATATTATATGTATACATACTTGTACATGTAATTTATATATAGTGGTTGAAGTTTTCACAAAAAAGACACTCCTTAATTTTTATTATTATTACTTTCTTTTAATCAGAAAACTTTAAATTCTGGCTATTGTTTAAAGATTTTAGAATAATGTTAAATTTTTAGCTTAGCTACATATAATAGAAGATTTTGTTATACATGAATAAGGTAACATCAGTGGGGGCAATAAATTGTGATGATAAATTAAAATTTTATTTTTTAATTAAATTTATTGGGATAACATTGGTTAATAACATTATATAAATTTCAGGTGTACAGCTTCATAATCAGACATCTGTATACTTTGTTGTATACTCACCACCTGAAGTCTAGTCTTCTATCACCATATATTTCACACCTTTTACCCCCTTTCTCCTTTTCCAACCGTTCTTCCCCTCCAGTAACTGCCATTCAGTTGTCTGTATCTATGAGTTTGCTTTTATGTTTATTTAAACTTTATTTTATAGGGAAAGAAATCGTATGTCAAAATTAAGAGAAGGAATAGTCAAATTTAAAGAAAAAAATGATAGAAGTTTAAATTTTGTAAATTAAGATAATAAGCCCATATTGACATTCCTAGCAATGAATATTATAACTTCTCAAAATCATGTATTAAAAAAGAAGGTCTTATGATACAGTATTGCACTTCATTTACTGAGTAAACCACTTCGGGGTGAAAGAGGACAGACATTATTACCACTGAAACCCACATAATTTTCTTCAAGACCAACATACGTTCTAAGTACACAGGCCTGCTAGTTCATGTAATCTCCCCTTTGCCCACATTCTTAATTTTTGATAGTTTGTGTTTGCTCTCCTCTTTTTTTGCTTGATCAGTCTAGCTAGTAGTTTACTAAATTTGTTGATATTCTCAGAGAACCAGATTTTGGCTTTGTTAAGTTTCTTTATTGCTCTCTATTCCATTGATTTTTCTTACCTTCCTCCTACCCTACCTTGTGTTTACTTTGCTCTTCTTTTTTTAGCTTCTTGGTGGAACCATAGGTAATTGATTTTGGACCTTTTTTGTTTTCTAATATAAACACTTAAAGCTGTAAATTTCCATGCTAAATATGGCTGCATCCCACAGATTCTCTTATGTTGTATTTTCATTGTCATTTAGTTTAAAACTTTTTAATTTTCCTAGTGATTTCCTACTGATCCAGGAATTATTTAGAAGTATTTTATTTAATTTTTATGTATCTGGTATTTTTTCTAGATGTTTTATTGTTACTGATTCTAATTTAAATCTGTTGTCAGCAGATAAACATATTTTGTGTGATTTTTACTTATGAATTGATCCTTTGATCATCATGAAGTATCCATTTTTAACTTTGGTGACACTTTTAGTTGATCTATTATTAATATAGTCATTCTAGCCTTCTTCTGATTACTGTTTTCACGATATATCTATTTTTAGCCATTTACTTTCAACCTATCAGTGGCTTTATATTTAAAGTATATATCTCATAGCATATAGTTGTGTGTGGCTTTTTAATTCATTTGAACATGCACTACTTTTTAATTAAAGTATTTAGTACACTAATGCTTTATTTTATTGATTGATATGTTTGGATTTAATTCTATCATTTTATTGTTTTATGTATGAGCCTCTGTTTTAGGGATATTTTTTATACATCCTTTCTAGCCTCCTTTTGGATTAATGAATACTTTTAAGAATTCTCTTTATTTTTTTTTATTTTAAACTATACATATTTGCATTTTTTCCTTTAAGTGATTGCTCTAAGGATTTCATATATGCCCTTATCATTTCAGAGTATTTAGAGTTACTGTTTCATCATTTGGATGAAATGTAGAAACCTTATAACTGTATAGGTCCATTTACCTGACCCATACTTTATCCTGTGAAGGTATATATTATATCTACCTTCATTATAACCCTTCAGTAAGACATTATAAATTTTACTTTAAGCATTATTACATATGTATTTTTAATAATTTAAGGGAAGTAGTTTTTAATATTTATATATATATATTTACCATTTCTAGTGACCTTCCTTCTTAAAGATCAAAGTTTTCATCAGTTATCATTGTCTTCAGCCTTAAGAACTTTAGTATGATTTTAATTGCAGATCTACTATTGATGATTGTATTTTATGTTTCCTTTATCTCAAAAATGATTTTACTTTAAGTTTTAAGGTATAGTTTTGCTGGTTATAAAATTTTGTATTGATTTTTTTATTTCACCATGTTAGGAATTTTGTTCTACTGCCTTTTGATCTCCATTGTTTCTGATGAGAAGCCAGCAGTAATTCATATCATTGTTGTCCAACATGTAGTAAGTTGGTTTTTTCCCTCCCTGAATACTTCCAATATTTCTCTTTACTTTTTGTTTCATCAGTTTGACTCTGCTGTTACTAGTCATGGTCTTCATATTTATCTTGGAGTTAATGGAGCTTCCAGAATCTGTACATTTGCCATTCACTAAATTTGGGGAAATTTTGACCACTACTTAAAAATTTTTCTTTCTGTCTCATTATTTTTTCTACTCCTAGGTTTAAATGAACATGTTTGACACATTTAAATATTGTCATGCAGATATCAGAGGATATGTTTTTCTTTTCTTATTAGCAGTCATTTCTTCTCTGATCTTCAGATTGGATAATTTCAATTGATTTATTTTTAAGTACATAGATTCTTTTCTTTGTTGTTACCAATGTGCTTTAAATCTTATTTAGCATGATTTTTTTTTTTTTTTATTTTATTTATTTACTTTTAGAGAGAAGGGAAAGGAGGGAGAAAGAGAGGGAGGGAAACATCAATGTGTAGTTGCCTCTCTTGCGCCCCGCACTGGGGACCCGGCCCACAACCCAGGCGTGTGCTCTGAGTGAGCATCAAACCAGCAGCCCCTTGGTTTGCAGGCTGGCACTCAATTCAATGCACCACACCAGCCAGGGCATTATTTAGCATAATTTCAAGTTCAGATAATGTATGTTTTAGTTACAGAATTTCCATTTTTCATTCTCTAGTTTTTCTGCTGAGATTTATTAGCTTTATATTCATTACAAGCATAGTTATACTTACTACTTCAAAAACTTTGCTTGCTAATTCCAACATCTGGTTCATCTAAGTGTTGGTCTCCATTGACTATTTTCTTGAGAATGGGTCACATTTTTAATGTTTTCTTGCATATCTAGTAGCCACGCTTTGAATATGGTCAAACCTCGGTTTTCGAACGTCTCCCATCTGAAACAATTCAGTTTTGGATCAAGTTTTTTATGGAAAAAAATGTCTCAGTCAATGAACAGAATTTCAGTTCTCGACCTGACAACCCTTTTCATGCTGATAGTTGTATGATTGGCTACCTGTCTGATTCAGTTTTCGAACAAATTTGCTTCTTGAACAGCATTCCTGAACAAATTCAAGAACTGAGGTTCCACTCTACTCTGGAGTCTATTACATTCCTCTGAAAAATATTGATTTTTTTTGTTTACTTGTTTGTGTTAGCAGAAAATTAACATTAGTTCAAATAAAATTGTAAAAATCCTGTCTTTGGGGTACAGTTGAAATTTGAGTTCAATTTTTTATATCCTTACCTATTTGGAGTCTGCCCTTATATGCATGATGTAGAGTTCAGCCAGAGATTTGAAAAGACTTCACATACAGAATTTTAGCTCCCTCCTCTGGACACCTTTCCAAGATTACCCTATTGCTTTTCTTTTGTGGTGGTTGCTGTCAGTCTTCTGATTTTTCATACTGGAAGTTTTTGGGGTTTTTAAAAAAATTTTTTTTTATTGGCGTTATAGCTGTCCTGCATGACACAGACTTGGGCTTGTCTCAGAAAAGAAGTGATAAAATGGGAACCTTTCTCATTGCCATTTTCTTTTTTAAGTGTTGGCCCCCTGTGGAATGTCTTCTTTTGGTCATTAGCCAGTGCCTTCAGATAGTGGCTTTTTGTAATATTATCAGTCTGCTAGAGACTTTCTTATCGATACTCTAAGGCAAGATCTGAATTTTTTCCTTTTTAAAAGCACATAGAATATCCTACCTAACACTGTCATTCATTTAGTACAAAAATTAGCTGGATTAGCATAGAGTAGAGGAATAATTTTATTGTAGCAATTTGAAATAAGAAAAAAGATTGACTATATATAGAAGCAGAGGTTGCAGGGATAGGGAAGACTCTATCCTTGATTATTAGATTAGATACATTTATATTTCTTATATAATCTGAGGAGACGTGGGTAATAAAGACTTGATTTGAACTATTAAGACATTTACTTGCAAACACTTTTTGACTAAATTTTAATTTTCTGTAAAGTCAACAACATATATATCACACGTATATCATTTTAACTGAGAGTACTTGTTTATAAATAATCATATTCAGATGTTTGCTTCACAGTTATGTAATTACTGAACCCATAACTAAAACTGAATACTTTTCTTTCAGATAAATTTTAATGATATTTTCATTTCATACCAAATACACACTAAATGTATTTAATAAATTCTATTTACTATAGGTCCAGATCAAGGCCTCGTCCACGTTCCCATAGTCGAAGCAGTGAAAGGTCCAGTCACAGAAGAACCCGTAGTCGATCTCGGGATAGAGAACGATGTAAAGGCAGGGATAAGGAGAAAAGAGGAAAGGAGAAGGAAAAAGGCAAGGACAAGGAATTACACAACATCAAACGTGGGTAAGTTGATATTTCCATTAACATTAAGCAAATCTTAAGCAGTGATGACTCAGTGATTTCATGGCAGTGTTCAAGCTAAATTTTCATTCTTGGCAGTTTTACTTAGATGGAAAAAAGAGGAGCATACAATAGAGAAAGAAGAAAGGATAAGTCAAAATAGTTATCTCAAATTTTTACTATGTTTTCTATTCCTGTTTTTATAATAAATCTATTCTTGTTTTTAAAATAAATAAAATATAAGTAATGCTTATATAATAAATCTTAGAAACACAAAATAAACAGCTCTATCAAAGCTGAGTATGCCAGTAAAGGAGAATTTACAAAATTCTTTAGGACAGTTTTACATTTGATTTCCTTTATCGTGAATATGAATTTAAAATTTGAAGACTATTTAATGATTCAGTATGTCTATTACAGTATTGCAGAGATGTTAAGGGAAAAGATTAAAGGTGAAACCAAGGGAACAAACCATGTGATTTACTACTGGTTAGGCCTCTTTCAATATAGAATGGGAACTTGGCCAATATTAAGGTGTATGTGTGTTGTTAGAGTGAGTGTATGTGCATATAAGACCTGGAATTTATTTTTTCTGGAATTGATATTATTGAAACAATTAGTCTGGCTCTGTCCATTTGCAGGGTGAAATTCACTCATAACTGTTTATTAAATTAGAAGCTGTTAAATAAGTTTTGGTTAGTAGCTTAAATTACAGCTTTTTATTTGTTTTCTTCAAAACTGACATTGGGGTATTTTACTCTATGAAGTAACACATTTTCGAGTTTATCCTCTTTTGTCAGTCCTTCAACACCTTACATATGTTCGCTTTAATACTTCCATTAAATGTATTTATTTTTAGTGTATCAAGCAGCCTTCAGTGTTAAATTGAAGAGTTAATCAGGGTCTTGGATATGATTTCTTGAGATCTTGAGTCAATGAGTAATTATGTTTAGTAAAGGATATGGAACTCTTCTCTAATCCTTTCTTTCCTCAGTTGTCTGTGCGTTTATTTTTTATTTCCAGATTTACAGTGACATGTAAGTGATTATATATACAGTGATTATATAAACCTGCCTAGATTGTTGGCTTTTAAGTGTTCATTGAAATAATAAATTTGTGGTGGATTTTGGAAGAGTATTAACATTGTTAGCTAACTTACTTTCTCTTGATCACCCCGCAACCATTAATCCTGCAAAATTCTGAATTCTGTCCGTTTGTAATTTTAAGAATTGTTGAATATTATAGGGGAGGAGATAGGTTTGAATATCTGGCTGGGAGCATAGGGAGACTGAGTTAACCAGAGTTGGTAGAATAGTATGAGGATCAGAGAGTATGGGGGAAATCTGTTTATAAAGGGAGAAAGTTGGGAAGATGATAGATTTGAAGAGAGGATGAAGAGTAGGTTTCCAGGACTGGAAAATATGAACTAAAAGGATGCATAAATCAAGGAACTGCCTTGCTTCTTGTTCCTTTTTTTCCTTTTGATTTAAACTTTAGATATTACATGACTAAGAGATATATAACTATGATTTTTAATGGTCGTTAAATTTTTGCTTTCCATCTCACCAACTTTTAACTTTTATTTGCACGGTTATGTAAAATTGGTATTACATAAAGCATTTTGTTACAAATTTTGAAGGTAAGAAAAATTAGAGTGTGAATAAAAACAGAGGTCAGATGGTTTCTAGAAAGGTTCTCATATGGTGATAGTGACATTAATCTTGAGGTTCTGGACCAGCTTTACAGGTCAGACTATGTTTTCACTCAGAGTTGATTGTGTTCAAGGGACTTATTCCAGGAAAACAGGTTCACAAGATCATAATGTTGTATTTGTCGTCATTTCTTACATCTCAGCAAAGGGAGTGAACAAGGTCAAAACAAGAACTGTCAGTTGAAGGGCCCTGGGTCCTGATGCCAAACGCTGTGAGTAGCCTGATTCGGTCATCTCCATGATTTTAGCAGACACAGTACAGGGTGGTGCTGTGTCAGGGTGTCCCCTCTCCTGGTTAGTGCTCAGGACATACAAATTTGTACCTTTTGGTATGATGTGAAATCAGGATTTTTTTGAGGGGTGGGAATCAGTGTACACATTTACTGTGGTAGTATATATATATGTATAGATGCACCTTGTTGCTCCAAAAACAGTATATCTGTTTTTAAAGCTTATGTGTCTATTTTCTCAACCTGATTTTTAAGCCATTCAGAGCAGAGAATGTGTCCTATATTCTTATATCACTTAGTACCTAATGTACATGTTAGTTGTTAATAAATATTTATTGGTTATTGATCAGATATGCTCATTCATTCATTTGTTCACTTGCTCAGTTAACAGTATTTAAATGCCTTCTATTTGTCAAGTACTGTTAGGTAACAGGGACATAATGGTAGGTCAGTCCTACTTGGCGATGTCATGAAGGTGGAATAAATAAGCATATACAGAATGGAAGATAAAAAAGTATCTACAGTAACATCATACAAGTTAGGATACTTTGGCCATAGGTAACATAGGTAACAAAACCTAACTAACAGTAGCTTAAACCAGGGACAGTGGAGGTTTTTTTTTTTCAAGGGCTAGATAGTAAATAATTTAGGCTTCTTGGGCCACATCTCTATTGGAACTATTGAACTCTGCCCTTTTATCAGAAAAGCAGCCATAGGTAATACTAAATGAACAGTGTGGTTGTGTTCCAATAAAACCTATTTACAAAAATAGACATTTGGCTAGATTTGCCCCAAGGGTTGTAGTTTGTCAACATTTGGTTTATACATAAGTATTCAATACATTTATTGTTAATATAACACATGCAGTTTCCAGCAGAAGTAAGGCCTGCTTGAGTGTGGTTGGTAGGGTAATAATATGGGTGTAATCATATATAGATTTAATTTGAACATTTCACCTAAAATGTCATATGGTGTGCTTGAGCGTGATATTGTTATGTTACAGAATTGCATACTTATGATTTTGTAATAAAAGATTTTCTAATAAAGAGGGGTGCTATTTTTGCTGGACCCTGTAGTTCGGAGGTAAGCAGACCCAGGCCCTTTTTATCCTTCAACAGGCTAGTCTCAGTATGTTGGCTTTCTAGTCTTGACACATTCTGGTTGAAAGATATTTCCATGAACATTAAGTTGGTTGACCTATGCTAGTCAACATGTCAGGGAGGGGCTTTCAAAAGAAGAGATATTTATACATTGAAGGAAGAAACAGATGGGAAAGAATGTTGCATGCAAAATGAACTTCATATGGGAAGACTTGGAGGCAAGCAAGGTAGGTATGGCAGATTTGAGAAACTGAAGTCTAATGGAACTTGGTTTAGAGTAGAAGAGGAATAATGAAGAGAGATGATTACTGGAATACCTTTAAGTTATGGCAGGGAGTTTAGAGTTAATTCAAAAGGCAGAAACCAATGAAGTTTCAAATAGAGTAATGAAATGATCATTACTACATGAAATATGTACTCACAGTGGACATAATAATAATTAACATCTAACATTTAAATATATTTTCTAAGTATCAAGGAATTTTGCTTGGATCAAGGAATTAAGCAATTGATATGCATTATCTTATTTGATTTTCATAATAGCCTCATGAAATAGGTGCTTTTATTACTCTGCTTCTACAGATGAAGGTTTGTGGTCATAGAGCTAGTAAATGGCTGAGTTAGTCTTCTAATTCGAATTTACTGACCACAGCCCCTTTATTCCTTAATAGTACACTATCATTACTTCTGTAGTAATGCATAATTATTGATGATGAGAAATACGGTTTGAGATTAAGTAATATGCTATTGCTTAAACTTCCTAGAAAATAAGTAACTGAGAGAATTTTCTGTGCCTTATTTTTCTCTGTTCAGGCCAGAAATCTGTCATTAATAAGATTCCTTCTTTTCTCCCTCTCTCTTTCTTCCTTACATTCTCACATCAGCTTTCATCTGTTTTAGTATTATATTTAATTTTATTTGATAAACCCACAAAAATTTTTCTAGGCCTTAAATTTATTTCTATGATGGTTTTATTAGTTGTCTCTTTTCAAATGTTCTTTTTCTATTAAAGAAACATATGGGTAGAGAAACAATAAAAAAGATTCACAAACAATTTAATTAGGGCTTTATTATGATTGTGCAATCAGGTAACAAGTATTTCAGCTTGTGCTATATAACCGAGGTGTTTCCTCCTATAAGAGAAAAATAACAACCCATATGCTTCTGCTTCTTATGTATAACAATCTTTGTTTTTGTCAAACCAGTTTGAGAATATCAGTATCGTGTAAATATTGCTAGAACATAAAGCATGCATTTATAAAGTATAACTCAAGGAGAGTAAGTACCGTAATGATAAAGAAGTATTTTAAAAACTGGGAAAAGTAAAAATAGAGAAAGGAATGCTCAAGTAGGATTGCCTAAATAATGAGGAAGAGCTTTTTATTAGACTCTGGAGAAAAAAATATGAAATTAGATAGTTCTGAAAAGCCTTTTATAAATAGCAGCTAATTAAGTACAGGTCTGGAAATTTCTGGAACATTTGAATGGTTATAATTAGAATTTGTCTTATAATGTTATAAATTGATCTATTCATTTTATTAATCTTGCTGAATAAGGGAGACCTAACATAAACCGGAAGAGTATCAAGAGTTTGTAGGGATTAAAAGCTGTCTTGCTTTAGAACACTATGTGAATGATTAATATAAGAAAGACACTGAGTCTTATCCTAGATTTTATCAAGAAGCTTTAATGACTTTAATTTTTAATGATTTACATTTATAAATTTTGATTTCTAAGAACATTTTATCTTTGAAACATTGATACATATTTTTCTTGTTTTTATTAATTATCCCCCCAAATTTAAAAAACTTAAATATTTATCATATTGTTAGATAATTTCTTTTATGAGGACTCATCTTTACAGTATGAAAACAAATGTTATAAATAGCATTACTAGGTTGAAATTGGGCACTTAATGTTATTTTGTTAAGGAAATTTTTCTTGAGAGTCAAAACCAGAAAT